GAGATCCTTCTGCCCCAGCCTCCTAAGTGTTGGAATAACAGGTGTCACCTCCATGCTCAGCCTCTGGTTTGCATTTTTTAACTACTTTCCCATCATTCTGGCATGGGGACCACCAGCCATTGGCCTGGACACAGAGGTGTCACAGACCTGTCAGGATGGACCCCATCTGGGCTCTGGGAAGCAGGGAGAAGCCTCCTCACTGGCCACCCCATCTTCCAGCCTTCTCCTTCCCCCTGCATGTTGTCTTTTTGGGCCTGTTGAGCAGTCACCTTGGCTGACCCCCTCTTTTACTCAAGGACATACAGAGCTCAGGTGCCACCTCTTTTGGGAACCCGTTCCCAGGGCTCTCAAGCTCCAGCCTAGGCTCCCCATGCCCAATATGCCACCTCAGACAAATGCAAGGACAGTAAGCCCTCCCCACAGAGCCGTTGGCTGGGTTCCATATTTCTTGACACTTTCCGTCCTCTCTGAATTTCTTTCCCAACTCTGGAGGGGCCTGGGTTAAGGCAGTGAGACACAGCTGGAGATCATGAAGGGAGGCCACAGGGACTCCTGGGTGCAGAGAACAGAGGTTGTACTCAGATGGCCTGCAGGGGGCACCATGGTCAGCCACGGCAACTGTTGTCATGGAGATGGACCAGCTCCAAGGATCTTTCTGAAGTGGCAAATGTCAAGTTTTTAAATCTCCGTCAACTTGTTTTAAGAAGTCTGAAGCCTCACAGAGCACCGTGCCACCCGGATGGGCCCTGCCAGCAGCTGCTTTGCACCCTCCACTCTGGTTTCATCTGTAGGAAAGGGCTTCCCACCCTTGTGCAGTTACTCAGCAAACATTTACCAGTGGCACCAGTCCTGCATGCCAGACACTGAGCAAGGCCCAGAAGACACAAGGGTATGCAATTCGCAGCCTGCCCTGGGAGTCTAAGTCCACAGAAGGACTCTGGGACCCTGACACATGGCCAGGAGAGGCAGGACATGAAGGGCGTTTCACCCATAGCCCAAGTGTATACACGATGATGTCACATGGATATGTCCTCCTCCTAGTGCCCTCTCTGGCTCACTCATGCCCACAGGCTTCCAGTGGGCAGCACCCACCTGACGGCCCCAGTCACCATGCTAGCAAAATGCACTGAGGACACACTGCCATTAGAGGGACACCAAGTGAACGTGTGTGAGCTTTGATTCCCAGATGAGGTCATCGGCCCACAGGCCCAAGGGCTGTGACAGGCAGGCAGGATCGTCCCCAGATTGGCTCTGGGTGGGCATCTCTGCCGAGGATGACATTGTAACCTGTCGCTGGCTGAGGCTGGGATCTGTACTGTACACATGGTGGTGGCCTCGGCCCCTGCTTCTGAGTCTGTGGTTTCCAGTGCCTGGGATGCTCAGGGTGGGGGGAGGGACTGATCTCTTGCTGTCTTTTGTAGACCACCCCAAAATCAGAGACTGGAGGGCTCTCCCCGCCCCACTGCTCCTTGCCAGGGCAGAATCTTGTGTGGAGCTCTCTCGCTTCCCACGCCCTGGGTGAAGGTCACTGCCATCTTCTCTGAGGACAGTAACAGCCAGCATTGTGTTCGACAATGCTTCCAAAGGGCTGGTCACATCCTTCAAGGACATGGCTTGGGGTCGGGAGCCAGCATCGGGTGGGCTCCAGCCCAGAACCTGCAGAGGATGTGCACCAGGCCCCACGGTGCAGGTAGAGGGAATCTGCAGGATACAGGACCTCTTGACACACTCCCAGCCCAACGGGGTGCAGCTGCGGTGGGGTCTGCAGGGCACAGACCCTGTGCTGGAAAACCAACATGGAGGCCCTGACGCCTCCTTCTCAGGCCTTTCTCACTCTCATCTCCAGTGGAAGGATAACCGAGGAGCAAGGTGCCCTCTGTGCTACCTTGTGGTCCTTCTGTCCATCTGGAATTTGGGATAACAAGCAAGGAAGTCCAGATAGAACTTGGTTTGTGCCACAATGCTATCGAAGCGTCATTCCCAGAATAGGATCCCAGCCTCCCCAGCCAGGACCCTGGCCTAGAACCACACGGGGCGTCCCTAGACACGGGTGTTCTTGCCTTGGATCTCAGAGCTGCATCCCGCCAAATCTTTCCCTCGAGAAAAAATTTCCACTTCTGTCCACCACATAGCAGCACAAATGGACAGGGAGGGCGAGAGACACAGGGGACTCATTGTTTCTGAGCACCTCTGCACAGACCGTGGATAAGCAGGTGCAGGTGCAGCCTGGCGTCCCCAAGGCTTCCGCAGGGCCTCCCCTGGCAATGCCCCATTCACCTGCAAGGTTGGGGCCGCCCAGGCACTGCCTGTGTGCTGGTGACCGAGGGCCTGCAGGTCTGAGAGGGGTCTGACGTGTGCTTCTGCTCCCCAGGTATCTGGTACAATATCCTCAGTGGCATCGGGAAGCTTGCTGTCATCATCAACGTAAGTGACACGGGACCGAGGCGGGATGGAGTCCTGGCCCAGCACTGCTCCTGCCTCGTCTTCACGCAGCCCGGGGCTGTGGACACGGTTCCCCTGGATCATGGCGGAGGCCGGGGGGCGTCCTGGGGAGGAATAGCAAATTCTCCTCAACCTTTAGCCCTGCCTCCCTCCCCAGCCCCTAGTGCAGGTCCTCCCCAGAATCCTGAGGTCACCAAGAACAAGACGGGCGGGGAGGGAGAGGCAGGAACAAAAGAGACACACAGACAGACAGACAGACATCCTCCCTTGGCAATCTTCCCACTCTTTTTCTCAATCTCTTTTCTCCTTTACACAAAATGCAGCTTTTTAAAGTTTTGGGGGATGCTGAAATAAGGCAGGAAGGAGAGAAACCCACCAGCGCCACCACCACCCCTAGCTCTGCCCTGGACCAGTGACCCCCCACCACATGCCAGCCCAGTGAATGGGACTGGCGGTTGCTGGCCCTTCTGCCCTGTAGATCAGTAGTGTCACAGCCCTCGGCCACAGCCATAACAGCAGTGGTCTCTGCGGCTTCCTACCCAGCCTGCCCGACTCTGCCTGTGGCCTGGACCCCCTGCCCTGGGGCCTTAGCTCTGTCTGACTGTCCACGTTCACACGTAAAGCCCAAGACTGAACCTAGGGCGTGTGGACCCCAGGCAGCCACAGAGCACACGGGGCCCCAGGACTCCTGTCGTCTCTGCCTCTGGCTGAGCCTAGGCCCCAAGAAGCTGACACCTTGCACAGAGGGACCAGGGAGTAGTTCCCCAGAGCAGACAGTCACAGGTTGGGTGCTAGGACTCAGTCCCCATGGAGTGCAGGGTGATGCTCAGCCTAGGACAGGGGACACTGCCTTTCCTCCTGCCAGCTGCCTCCCCCCAGACTAAGGCTTTGAAACCCCTTGTTGAGGGGGGCCGCACATGAGCAGCAGTTCCCAGCCCACCCTGGCTGAGTGAGCATAGGGTCCTGAGGCTGGGCACCGGGTGCAGCCGGTGAGGACCACAGCAACAATGCTGGACGCCCACAGCATCTAGAATGTTCCAGAGCCGCTGGTGTGTGAGCTCTGGCCGCACCCCCCACTAACCTGCACCAAGTCCTGGGAGGTGGGACTGGTAGGCCCCGTCTTCAAGGAGAGACAGCAAGGCCCAGAGAGAACAGGTGACTTGCCCAAGGTCACACAGCCAGAGGCTGCTGACTTCAGCTCCCTGCCCTCTTAGCATCCCAGAGACAGCTCTGCAAGAGAATGAGGAGGTGACACCTCACCACTGCAATCCTCCTCCTCCCTGCTCCCTGTCCTCCAGCAAGCCCTGCAGGTGAGGTCTGTGCACAGCTGTCGGCCTGTTTAACACAATCAAAAGAATGGCACAGAGAAGTGCTGTGCTTTGCCCAGGGCCACACAGCCAGCCAGCAGAAAGGCAGCCAGTGCTTGCCTGTGACTTCAGGAGTGCCACCCCCACCCCGGGGCCTTTCCTCGGGGCCTCGGAGTGGTGACAGAAGCACCCTGACCCTTTGAGGTCAGCTTGTCAGTTCACTGTCCCTCCCTGTCCTGCCCCAGCTCCACGATCACCCTCTGTCCCCTGCAGGCTTTCGTGATTTCCTTCACGTCGGACTTCATCCCGCGCCTGGTGTACCTCTACATGTACAGCCCGAACGGGACCATGCACGGCTTCGTCAACCACACCCTCTCCTCCTTCAACGTCAGCGACTTCCAGAATGGCACCGCCCCCAGCGACCCCCTGGGCCTGGGCTACGAGGTGCAGATCTGCAGGTACCCTCCGGCTGCTCTCAGGGGGCCCCATTTA